TGACAGTTTTCTCAACCACAAAAACCCTCAGGCTAATTTCGAATCGAAAATATAACTTACGAGGAACATAACTCGGAATGATCGGTACTCCTACGGTATTGGCAACGTAGTCCATGACTGATCCACTGAAATAAACACGGCTTCTGCAGAGCAAAAATGTTGTTTCTGACAGGCAAAGATTATTTGCAATTACTTTCTAAGACCTAGAACAACCTCACAAGCCGAAGAGTACCTGTTGAGCCAAATCCAGCTTGGTATTTTGGCAAGGTGGACGAGACCCACAGTGCAGATGTCGAACATGTGAGCGTATGCCAAGTCGAAACGCTCGTGCTCCAACCATTGCAAGAACTCCTTCTGCTCCAGTGTAGCTGGAAACTCAGAAAGGTGATGAAAGGCTCCGTTCGCGGTGGTCGTATGGCCTGGAGCCCCACTGATGCATCCTTGGGAGAGGGGAACGCAAAAAGGAAGTAGTTACAGTGGAAGGTCTTACTTTGCCCATATGGTCGCCAATCGTGGACAAGAGAATGCGCGATAGGGAATCGCTATCGAACAAGCGGTAGAGGTAGAATTCGTGAAGGAGGCAGTATCTACTACAAAATGGGTACTAATCACCAGAAATCCGATTATCGATGCCTTTCAGTACGTGCTTATCGATCGACAGTCATTGAGAAAATTTCAAGAGATATTATGCTTGACCGTGAACACGAGGTCCTCTCATTCGTCCTAGGCTTATTTTTATCCAGTAGAACCCAGCTGCCCTGACAGGGAACATTTTAGTGTTGCGGAGAATTTCCGCTTGGTGCGACTTCCTCCCCTCCCTCCTCTTCTCCACCGAACCTTCTACGACCCCCTAAAACCATTCTCTTCTACGACCCCCTTCAAAACCAGTTACCAGAATCTCCCCAAATCTGCCGTGGAGCTAAACTGGGGCGGTAGTCGACTAGGACGTGTATAGAGCTTGCGGAACGGAAAAGTAAAAAATCGGAAATGTTCCACGTTCCAGATACGACCCTTGATCCCTGTTGAGTACCAAATAAATCAAATTACCTCGACATATATTCACAATCGTGGATGTTTGGATTGATATCCTCTGTGCTAGCTTCCATCCAGAGATTTCCTGAATGGCTGGATTGATAAAATTTCAGTGGATTCCAAAACGCCACACATAAGTCTAATAAAAAATGGTGTCTGCCTTGCTCTCTCCGCTTTCTCAAATTCGCGCCTAGAACTACTTCACTTCACAATGGTTCAGTTTTGGACCTACGGAACTTGGCCCTTGTGTTATTTACCGTTATCTGCCAGGCGTTCATAAATCTGCCGGACCATCCACCAGCGTCCAAGCGTGCGCATGCGTTCAGCGACTAGTAAAGCATATATATCGATCTAACGTCTGCCAGGGTCTCGAGGACTAGGGAAGCATATGTATCTACTAAGCGTCAGCCAGCGTCTGGCAGCGACCAGGCAGCGTTCGGAAGGGAGAGTTTATGGCGACAGCGTAGGCTGAAGCATGCAACGGTATTAGAGTATGGCGCGACAGGAGGATACAGACTGCTTGATGCTAGCGGACGGCTGGCAGATACTTTCGATACTATATCCCAACCCTCGAGACGGCTGCGGGGTCGGTGTGGACGCTTGCGCATACCTGACAGGACGGCTGATCGATATCTATAGTTTTTCCTAGCCGCTGCATGCGGATGCTCGGGATTGGCGGACGCTGCCGCAAAGTATGAACGCAGCCTCATATATGTAATCAATCACGGATACCCTCCATTCACTCAAAGCACACCTTGAATGCAACTCTGCTTGTTTTTTCTTTCCATCTCTTTCCTGGCAGAATTCTAATCGTGCATTGACGCCCGGTAGACTGGCCATAATGAAATTTGAATAAAGTGCAATTGATGACACACACACTGTACCACTCTTTAGGCCGAGTTCCCGCTTTTTCCATAGGCGAATGGGCTTAGGCAGTCCGCAGCTGCTACCAAAGGGTGCTTTTCCTCTGCTAGAAAAGGCTTAGCGATGCGCTCAAACTTTTTCGGCCAGCGTACTCATCGGACCACTAGCGTTCCAGCGTCCGGCATTTTTAATGACTAGAGGAAAGTCTAGTATTATATCCTAGCGACGAGCCCAGGGCTACCAGCGATCCAGCAGCGCTCTGGAAATGGATGAGTGATGGGGGGGACAGCGATGGCGCCAAACAGTGGTGAACCTCCTATCGTCCCATACCTCTACTAGCAGTATTCTACCCTGCCCATACTCTCTACCAGCTGTTTGTTACCCTGCCATCGCCCTATGTTCTCCTTTCCTAGAACGCTGCTAGTCGCTGGTAAACTCTGGTAGACGCCGCTGGTCGCTGGTAGACGCTCCCGGTAGCTGGTGGACACTGGTAGACGCTGCTGGTCGCTAGATCGATATCTATACTTTCCTAGTCGCTGACGTTGGCGGACGATCGGAACGCTGGTGGGCGCTGGTGGGACTCAGCCTCAGAGGAATCCTAGACGTGCTGATGGCTGAATTCTAAATGGCTCCCTCAAGCGAGCCTCAGCGAACAGAAGGCACGCAACACAGCCACAACCAGCCATAGCCCAATCGTGGCGGTGGTGCTTTTTGCCTCCCACTATTCATTTGCTAGACAGGTCCACAACGAATTGGTCTTGCTGTAACATGTCCGCGACGTGTCCGGGATGTAGTAAATACACGGCATATTTATGAATCCGAAGAGTTTGGCCCAATTTGAATCAGAGCTGCAACAATCTGCGCCACATTTGATAACACTAAGATGGTTTGGACGCTTGTCCGATTGTGTGAATGCTTCCAAAGGCGAATAGGCGACTTTCAGCCGAAGATGTCAAGACGTTCTCTGCCTGAACCTTGAATTCTTGACGCAGTTTGACTAGGGGGAGGGACATTTTTTGCACTTTTGCCTACTTTGCCCATCAATGTATCAGCATCTAAACGGAGTCATTTTGTGTAGTTTCACAGAACTGAAACAAGTGTATTCCAACCATGATGGCTGGACAATCTTGCTTCAGCTCCTCACAAGAGTTCACAGGTTTTCACCACCGGTAGATGCCTTGTGAACCGCGAACTAGGTTGAAACAGCATATGCAAAATGCCCCCTCCCCGTCGCCGACAATTCGTCCATCGCAGCAGCACTCCATCTTCATTTCCAGGCATATCCGATTGGCGAGAGCGGGACCCCTATACAGCAGCGGACCTGCCCACTTCGCTCATAAGAGAGAACAGTCACACAGTACGCTCATCCTATTAGGGACTTCCCTTACTCGCGAATAGGCGCACGGTGTGACTTCAGTCCTCTCCAGGTACTCAGGTAAGGGGGAGCCCCAAAAGCTCTTCCTGCATGTTGAGCATTCGCTGCTATTGTTTGATCACACACGCAAAACTCCAACTACTTTCCGCCGTTCCCTTACAACAAAGTGGGCTTTGACTGCGAGCGGTGGGGTCGGGAATTTTTTGCATGGCACCGTTTGCTTCTTTTTTCTTCATGGCTAAGTTGATAAACCCATACTTTCCTGTTTCTCTGTCATGCTGCCTACGAAGGTTTCGACAGTTTATCACGAAATGTGCCTCTAAGGCGCTCAGCCAGTTTTTGCAACCCTCACAACGACGTTCAGTGTGAGTAATCCCAAGACCCACTGCCTTGTTCCATTTCACAAAAACAATAACGGGTGCAGACATACCTTTGATGCTGTCGGAGATTTTCACATCGCTGCTGTCTCTGTCGGCTTGAGGAGCGATCAGAGCAAGTGTGACATCGTGTCCAGCAGCAGAGAGCGCTTCTGCTATCCGAACGTTGTACAGCAACTGTCATGGAATTTACAAATAAAGTTGCCTCAACTGCTCCAGCAGTAATTTTTAGGATTTGTCAATTTCAATTTATTTGCTATGGATATCTCCAAGACATAATTCACGCGTGGTTCGTGGAAGGGGTCAGGTTTACCATAATGCCTTCATCACCGGGGTAACCTTGCTCTTTACTGCCACAGGAGTGGCATAAAAAGCACTCTACAGTTACACAGCAATGAAGGAGACAAAATGGGAAGTCTAGCTCAGCCCACACGACGGGCGTGGACTATGCCTTTAATGATGGGAGCACATGTGCGAAATTGTGGAAAGAATAAAGATCTCGCGGTCGCATTATCACTAATTGTACCTACTAGCTGGCCTATTTTGATAGAGGGATAAGTGGTTTTTTCATTTAACAAGCGGCACACACCTGACTATTTGATAAATCCATGACAAATATCACCATTTTGTAGGAATATACAGAGTAAGCACATAGTGACAGAATGTAGAGCGGTATTAAGCGCATCTGAAAAGCACTAGGCATGGTAAGCATGGTTAGTGACATAGAAAACTCGCCAATAATTAAAAGAATCCTGGGTCGTAGAGGCGGGGAGGGGGTCCGCTTCGACAAAAATTTCGATGCCGCGAGAAAACTTTTGGCGTCGTTCGGCTTGGGATGTGCATTCTGCACTGCTATTTCGTACCAATCCATCAGGTTATACTTTGGTGAGACCTTTCGGCTCCTGTAAAGCTACCCTGTGAATCACTTCGGTTGCAGGACCTTACCCTGTGAATCAACTTCGGTTGCAAGAATCACAATTATTCACAGACTAGGGTGAACAGCTGCGCCGAAGCATCCTTTTGCACAGCACCCAACAAGTCGAACTGCCGAAAAAATTTTTTTTTCGCAGTTTTCCCAGTTCCTGCTAGATCCCCTTTTCGAGATGACAGCGCAGCACAACTGCTGTACAACACTTGCTACTGATGGTTGACGTTCGCAGTCGTTTGGTGACAACCCCCTCTCCGCTCGACAGCGTTCGAAGTAGCTTTGAAGAAAAACTGCAAGAGTTAAAAAAACAAAAATCCGGAAGATTTAGTAGGGAAGTTTGGAGACTCCAAAAAGATGGTAGGGAATATGAAAAAAGGGATGCTGTACTGGACGAGAAATTCTGGGATGGGTTCGTGATTAAACTCAATCCCATCAATCTTCATGTCATCTTACCCATCTCATGAGATTCAAGTTGACCGACTTTGGAAGTAACTCCTTTTCAGATTTCTCAATGTGTGGCGCGAGCTATCAGAATTTTATAACACAGTAACACTTCGCAAATAGGCTGCGCAGAGCGCTATCTTTTGGAAGCTATTGAGCGCAACTTACAAATACTTCTTAGATTCCACATTCATAATGACAGCAGGTCTCGGGAACGCACAAGTGATTACCAAGTGAGGCGGTTCCGTGGCGCCTTATTCACCCAAGGTTGGGAGTCCTACCCCACACCCGACATCCGTCAGCCTGATCGGATGGGAGTCAGGTTCATAAGTGTCCTTGCGAACACCTAAAGTTAATCATCGCGCGCACGACGCCACCTGTAGTGCCGTGTATCACCGTAACTCCATGTCCTCAACTGTCTCCGCTCCGGATTTTCCCACTTACAACCAAACGGGAAGTTTACTTGGAAGCCGGTTTTGGATTTCCACAGTTTCATCTTACGGCGCCCACATAGGGCAATATCGACGTTGTGCGGACATACGGTCATGATCCCTGCAAAGGTTGTTGCAAGGGGCGCGGATGAGAGCGCAGCCATGGGAGCCATACCCAACAACTGCTGCTAATTAAAGATCGCGCCATAGGTGAAAAGACCGCCTGTCTACGGTTCAATGCACGCCCCCACAAACGACTTACCCTTTGCAGGAATTATCTATGTGATGTCGGACTCATATTCGGGACGTTACGAAAAATGCTAGTGATTCAAATATCAGTATTTTTCCAGTTGCCCTTTCAAGATAAACAAGGCCCGCATAGAAATATCGACTATCCAGTGAAACGAGAAAATATGGTCAAAGTTTTTCCCATTTTTTCTCAAGTTTGAGATCAAAAAGGTCTCTAACACATTTCTTGAAAAAAATGGAAAAAATTGCAATCTGTGAAAAAACTAGTCTGGTCGCCACATGTAACTTTGCATGAAGTGCTTCTTATTGCCCTTTTGGACTGTTTTCGAGAGGGGCAGAGTTCTGAAAGAGAAGTGTCAGTGCCAGACCTACTCGGATCCTCACTTTATAGACAAAAAAGCAACTGCGATGAGTTTATTGGGGTTTGGTATCAAGATGGGAACCAAGGCGAGAGGATTTGTTTCACAGATGTTAGAGTGTCTTTGGAAGCATTTTGTTCATACCTATACTATAGAACGGTACTGAAAATACAGCTGAGAATAGTTTGAAATCGTAATTTTCAAAAAAAGAAAAGCGCTTGCGAAGTGTTTCGAAAAGCCGCATTCTGGAAGCACTTATCTAAAGCACAAGAACCGTTTCAAAAGTGATAGTATTATCTCTTATCAGTCCTCGCAAACAGCCAGTGTTCTCAAGAAAATTGTCATGAACTAATGTTGGACTCCTGGAAGGCATATAAACCTGCTACCAGACTGCTCTGCTGATGGTGAGCAGCTCTCATAGAACATTTTGAACAAATCTCGACGGCAGGTCCGCAACAGAAAGCGCAGCTAGCAGAGAAGGATGGTGGAGAAGCTGCCAAGGGACAAGTCAGTGAAGAGAAAGGGGGACGTTGGAAACGCGAATAGGACCCTTCCCTAGCCGTAAGCAGTTCTTCGAGTAGAACGCGTGTTGGGACGAGAACAGTCAGCTGATTCTTTGCAATCAACCCTACAACCACACAGAAGAGCATGGAGCCTCAAATTTGAGCTTCTCGTCCAGGTGGCATCGGAAGACCAAGTTTGATGACAGAGTGTGGAAGCGGAGTCACAGAGAAGAGGTGTCTCTGGAACAGTGCTGCACATTAGCTGCTTACCCTTACGACTTTCCGCTAAAATTGCAGATGGCTATCCTATGCG